CTTATTCTGCCTTTTCACATATTGAAACCCAATAAAGTATTTGTATGACTGGCATTTTTTAAAAGCCTGTGGTTAATTCAGTCAAGGCTTATGTCTGGATTATGCGGTAGGGTTCTGAGATATGTTAATGCTTCGTTAATCACATATTCACTTTTCCAGAGCTGAAATTCACCACATGTCGTCCATGGATCTCAGGCCAAATCGGAAGGATTCTTTACGTGTTAACTGCTTCCCTTTCATCCAGGTGCTGTGCGTGTAAGGGGCTGTGCTGGGCGTCACCGCCGAAGCGTATCAGCCACTGCCTGAGTGTTAGCTCACTTTCAAGCCACCCAGGAAAAATAATGCTGATTTCAACATATCCTCTTCATTTTTATTTTTTTAATCTAAAAAAAAATTTTTATTAGTTTTTATTGGAGTATAGTTGCTTTACAATGTTGTGTTAGTTTCTTGCTGTACAGCACAGTGAATCAGTCATACGTATACCCATATGCACTCTTTTTTAGATTTCCTTCCCATGTAGGTTACCACAGAGCACCGAGTAGAGTTCCCTGTGCTATACAGTCTGTTCTCATTAGTTATCTATTTTATATATAGTAGTGTATATATGTCAGTCCCAATCTCTCAATTCATCCCATCCCCTTTTTCCCCCTTGGTAACCGTAAGTTTGTTCTCTACATCTGTGACTCTATTTCTGCTTTGCAAATAAGTTCATCTCTACCATTTTTCTAGATTCCACATATAAGTGATATTATACGATATTTGTTTTTCTCTTTCTGACTTACTTCACTCTGTATGACAGTCTCTAGGCCCATCCACATCTCTGCAAATGTCACTATATCGTTGCTTTTTATGGCTAATATTCCACTGTATATATGTACCACATCTTCTTTATCCACTCCTCTGTCGATGGACATTTAGGTGCTTCCATGTCCTGGCTATTGTAAATAGCTGCAATGAACATCAGGGTGCATGTGTCCTTTTGAATTGTGGTTTTCTCTGGATATATGCCCAGTAGTGGGATTGCTGGGTTCCTCTTCATTTTTAGAAATAATTTCCACTCCATCTAGTTTGCTCAGCATTATTTAGCACTATTCTTTAGTATAAAAAGTAGCAAGGTAGCAAGGATGTGTCAGGGATAAGTTAGTCAACCTAAAGTATCAAGACCAACATTTATGTCATTCAGCATACTTATCATTTAAAATAAAGTTGAATGATTTTAGAAAAGCTTGTCAGAGTTTAGGAGAACTGAACTCCTTCACTAGCCAACGAAAGAATGGGTCCTAGCTGGTACTGAATCTCCATCATACACTTCCTTTCCCTCTTTCTTCATTCTAATTTTCTCCTCATTTATAAACAGTACTATATTATTTAACCATAACTGTCTCCTATTTAACCCCCCCCAAACGCCCCCCTGCATGGTCTCTTTTCTTCTGTCTTCTTCACCTCTGGTCACTTACCTCAGCATTTACCTAGATCATAACCTTTATCTTATTGGGAACAGGAGAGGGGACTTGACAGCATGGAAACACCATTTTGAGATCGGTGTTTTAAAAGATAACTGAACTGCATTGCAAAAATGCAGAAGCAGAAAGAGAACAAAAGAAAAGAAAGTCAGGAGGGAAATAGCAAGGGCCTGAATTAGAACAGTAATGACAGTAAAGACAAGACAGGGACAGATTTTTTTTTTTTTTAATAGGCTGAAAGTAGACTGAATAGGAAATGGTTCCTGACTGTAGGACAGTAACAAAGAGGAGAGAACGAAAAACAACTTGACGTTTCTGAACTGCGCTGATAGGTAAATATGGTTCCTTTAACAGAGACAAGAAACCAAGGCGAGGTGTTAGGTGTGAGGGAGGTGATGGACTCGAGTTTAGCCATACAGAGCTGCATTCATGGGTGATGTCCAATGTGCCTATGGACAACCAATGTTCCAAATGGGCAGGAAAACTTCTGGATTTAAAGAGAATAGAGATTAAGAAAATCTTCTACTTGTTTTCTTCCTTTATTCTTCTCTTCATTTTACTGAATTAAAATATGCATTGGGAAGCTACTGCATGCCAAGTTCTTGGACAGGCATTAGGGAAAAAAAGAAAAGAAAGTAAATAGAATGCTCAGGGCATCTGCAAGTTCTGGTGGGAGATGACAGCATAACAATGGCATAAAGTGGTGGGATGAGGGGAGGGTTCCCAGAGGAGGCTTTATCAGGGATGGACGGTGCTTACTAAGGTTCATTAACTCACCTCACACCTGGAGGGGAGAACACATGCTTTCCACTTCCCTTTCTGGTCTAGACATGCCCTGTGGTTCCAGGCAGGCTGTAAGGCAGATTCCCCCCCAAACACACACATGGACTTCACTTCACTGCACTCACCCACATTCCTTCTGGGCAAATGATGCTGCGACTTCTTTGTGGGAGACCTTTTGTTAATCTTCTATCTTTTACATGAAGGCAACAAGGTATTTATAACTAACTCTTGGAATGCTGTGCAACGTTATGATAGAGGTAAAAGTTTAATCCTGATTCCTGGGACAGCTCTGAAATTGTCCATCACTCTCCCGGAGAAGGTGCTACCCCCATGGAATACAGAGGTTGAAGCATCTTGACAGAGATTAGGGTGCTTAAGATTCAGGCCAGCCCCACAGTTCCACCCCTAGGCACCTACCCAAGGAGGAATGAAAACATACGGCCATAGGGAGACTTATACAAGACTTATACAAGAATGTTCACAGACACTTTACTCATAACAGTCAAAAACTAAAAACCACCCAAATGTCCATCATCAGCGGTGAATGGATAAACACACTGTGAAATGTGTCTTGGGCTGCAGCAGCTGCAGGCTTGAGGTGATGCTGTGAGATATTACCCAGCAGTATAAAGGCATGGACAGCAGATACAACAACACGGATGAACCTCAAAAGCATTATGCTGAGTGAAAGAAGCCAGCCCGGAAGACCCCGCTTACATGATTCCCCCTATATGAAACTCTCGAGAAGAAAAAGCTATAGTTCCTTAAAGCAGATCAGTGGTGCCCAGGGCACAGGGGAGTAGACTGCACAAGAGAACATTTGGGGTGATGAAAATACTCTCTGCTACGAACGTGCTTACATTACTGGATTACAGTTTTCAACACTCATCGAATTGTACACTTAAATTTGGTAAGTTTATTTTATGTAAATTATACCTCAATAAAACTGATTGGAAAAACAGTCACGCAGGGCTGAGGAGGAGAGGCCCGAGCACGCTCAGCTGGAAGATGCCGGCGGTTCCTGGGAAGCTCTGAGCCAGCACTACCTCAACCCTCCAGCTTCTGCAGCCCGAGAACACCTCTGTTTTAATGCTTTGACCTCAGAGCCCGACAGCCACTGGTCATTTCAGATTAAGGTTCCAATAACTCACTCTCACCTTGCCACCCACCCTTAGGCCAGAATCAGCCTGTTCATCCAGACAACTGATAATATATAATCCTAACCTCCTCCCACCCTGGTCTAGGGATTACTCAGTACCTGAAACGTGGACTCTTGGCTCTTCTGTTGTTCTCGGTTTCCTAAAGAGACAAGGGGCTGGGCTTATTTGTTTTCTCAACATTTAAAACTACAGTTTCGGGCTTCCCTGGTGGCGCAGTGGTTGAGAGTCCACCTGCCGATGCAGGGGACACGGGTTCGTGCCCCGGTCCAGGAAGATCCCACATGCCGCGGAGCGGCTAGGCCTGTGAGCCATGGCCGCTGAGCCTGCGCGTCCGGAGCCTGTGCTCCACAATGGGAGAGGCCACAACAGTAAGAGGCCCGCGTATGCAAAAAAAAAACAAAACAACCTACAGTTTCTCTACACTGTCTGACTCTCCATGGTTCTACTGAGATCTTGCTTTTCCATTACCCCTGCGGCCGTAACCCCAGGGTTGACGCATGTCCGGGTCCAGGGAGCAGGTCATTTAGGAAGGGAGAAGAGGGTCCCAAAACGTAAAACGCATCTTACTGCAGCGCAACCCTTTAAGTGTGAGAGAGGCCCTGAGTCAGGACATGTGCAGAAGGACTGTTTCTCCATTACTGTGTGCCTGTTCCTTCATCCCACTGACATTCTTAAACAAAATACAAGTCTGAACTGCCCAAACAGCTATATTTTTAAGTGCTATTTTCAGAATTTCAATAACTACTAATAAAGAAGGTTTGTACCAGAAACCTTATGAAAACCATCTTTTGTACACTCGATGTCATAGGAAGTAAACTGACATGACATTCAATGAGGGCATGTGATGTGACAAACACTATAGTAGGAGGCTATCAGATATGCATTATCTAGTCTAGCCCTCATAGTAATCCCGTTCCTTACATACACCAGCCCCATCTTTGTAGATAAATTCTCTAAGACTTAGAGAATAAGTAACTTGCTGAAGTCATTTAAGCTTCGGCTACTATACAGTTTGAATATGCATCTAAGACTATTTGAAGTTTCCAAAAAAAAAAAAAAAAACCCTCTAAAGATTTCACATAAACTGTGGTCTACAGCTTGGATTAACATTCACAAGGTCCTGGGTTTGAGTCCTTTCTCAGCCATTCACTAGCTGTATGGACCTTAGGCAAGTGAGTTTCCTTTAGGTTAATTTCCTCACCCGCAAAATGAAGAAAATAGACTTAGTTCACAGAGCTTTGAAAGGATGGAGGAAGGTAAGTCACACAATAAGCACGCCGTCAACTACTGGTATGATCTCAAATGCCAAGTGGCTCCAAATGGAAGAAATACAACACATATGGACAAATACTGCCCTCAACTATTCGGAGTTGCATTTCCACACAGTGGATCATATTCTGCCCTTCAGTTAGTCCTGCCCTTCTTCGGTCAAAGTAGTAAACTCTTGAAGGAAAAACAAAAAAGTGTCTGCCTTTAAGGAGTCTATGAAGACCCTCTCTGCAGACTCATTCTCTCTTTCCTAAACCGTCTCTAAAAACTAAAACTTGACCACAACACCTTATTCCCAGACAGCCCATCCCTTGCCTTCACTCACCTGCTCCGGATACTTGCTACCGACGATCTCTGCTACGGTGTTGAAGGAATCAGCATCTGGGTAGTTCTTTGCCCCCATCTTCAGCTGAATGACAATTCTGCTCCCACGAGAAGCCATTCTTGACATCATCTCTGCATCTTCCACCGTAATACAAGCTGTTGGGATCTTTGGCACACCATCCTGGTATTCCTGAATACCTGTGTGAGGGCTTGAGAAAAGAAGCCACCAGGTTACCTTGAAAGTGGAAATGGACCAAAAAAGTCTTTTTTAAAAGACTTTCACTGATCCCTGTTTTCATGTGAGGAAGGGAAAGGGTGGGCAATATTGGTTTACTTGCTTTTGATGTGAATGTAATTTTTCTTTTTGATAGAAATAACTTAGAAACTTCAATTTAATAAAAATTTCATTGAAAACATTACATGAAGTTTATTACTTCATTACATGATGTCTAGGCTGCAGACTAGAAGGCCCACACGTCTGGAAGAAAACTGGCCCAGGTACAACCAGCTCTCTGGTCACTGACTGGCTCGAGAGCTACGCTCTTCCCACCCAAACACAGAGGTCTGCATATGTGGCCCTGCATAGGGGTAGAACACTGTGTGCGAAAACCATAGAACAACATCTGGGGAAATGTTTCGATTCCCAGGAAGAAAAGTGCCAGATAAACCCAGGTCTGTGATTTCACTGCCACAAGAAAAAGAAAACAAACTATTATGATTTTGGCATGAAGGGGGAAATATTACCCCAAATGGTCAAGTTTTTTCTGCTAATTTCCAGATGCTTCTTATATCACTGGAAACACTTGTAATTGAAGTTGATATTAATCTAAATTGAAGTTGATATTGATTCAACCTCTCCCCATGCTGAGTTTATCAAATTCACTTTCTAGAACTGTTCTTTCAAACTGTCCCCTTTTACCTCTGAGGTAAAAACTCCAAACCACACCACCACAACTCGCTCAGGACCACAGCTTCTGAGCGCTCACCATATCCCATCAGTCTGTTCCTGTCTTCTGTGGAAGCACAAGCTAACAGCCTCCCTTTCCAAATTAAGTTTTCTTTTTGTACTTCCATACTCGTTTCAGGTTGTCTCATATTCAGAGAAAAGCCTTTTTCCTCCTTTGAGCCATAACACATTTCTCTCCTGTACAAGTGACTCCAATCTGCACGTGCATAAACACGATGATCCAGTCTTATCACTGATTTCTGGGTGTGACTGTTATTGCTGTGACCATGTATCAGGTGACGATTTACTGACTTAGAGAAACTGCATGACAAAGTGATTAAGAATACAGGTTCTGGAGCAAGACTGTCTGGGTTCAAATCTGGGCTGTGCTACTTATTGCTAATTGGCCTTGGGCAAGTTACACGTCTTTGCTTCAGTGGCTTCAGCTATGATTGGCGAAGGTAATTATAATACCTATTTCATAGTTATTTTGCAAATTTAGTTAACTTATACAAATAACTCACTTACCCTGGAACATAGTAAGCCCTTAATAAATGTTAAATATTTATTATACTAATTTATCTATTACATTAACCCTGCAGAGAGAGACTGTGTAATCTCAAGTCCTTAGACTTAGACCATCTAAATACATCCTTTACGGACATTTCTTAACTGCTGACTGAAAATCGTATTCTTCATTAGAGAGAGACAAATGACTTATAAATTCAAAACTTATAAAGCAGAAACCCTGAATCTGAATCCCTGTTCTGGAATATGCCTAATCCACTCTAACTTCCAGTTTAGGTCACATCCTGGATCTACCATTCTCCACCTGCCTGACACCAAGCGACTTAGATTACCTCTCTGTTTCTGAGTTTCCACAACTGAAAAGTAGAGAATAATATTAGTATTGACCTCATAAGATTGCTATGAGGAACATAAGAGATAGTATATGTAAAGGATTTTAAAGTGCTTGGCATATAGGAATTACTTAGCAAACATTAGTTGTTATTATTATTTCTTCAGTGTTAATTTTCCCCACTGAGTTGGTAGAGTGGTTAATGACCAAAAGTATTTTGAAACACGTAGGAAGACAATCTAAATATTTATTATTCATATTACCTTACGTGATGTCTAGGAGTCAACAAACTCTCCTTGTTCTCAGGCTCTCTGACTCAAAAGGAGGTCAGTGTAACACCTCTTAATAGGCTCTTTTAAATAATGTTTCTAAACAAATTGGCACTAATAAGTTACAGGTAAGGCTTCTTAATTTGGGGACAGTGAATTGGGCATATACCAGGGGCTCCACTGAGGAAAATGGCATTTTCCAACTGTGGTTCTGAATTCAAGATATAAAAAGCTTCTAATTTGTTTCTACAATTAAGCATGTTCTCCAGTGGTTGAGTGTTCAGCATTGTTCAGTAGAAGTAGGCAGAGTGAAGACTCAACAGTTCTATTTAGAGTCCTGTGTTTTTACTGTCAATTGTCCTACAGGAGGTGATCACCATAAACATCACCTTCCTGGCCCCACTTACAAGCCCCACTTGCATTTAACAATAGCAAATGGTAAACTACAAAGGAAGCCATAAAAAATCAAAACAAGAACATTTAAAGATTAATACCAATCCTTCACAAAGTCTTTGAAAAAATACAAGAGGAGGGAACACTTTCCAACTCATTCTACAAGGCCACTGTTAATAAGAACAAAACTAGACATAGACCCTACAAGAAAAAAAACTATAGACCAATATCTCTTAAGAATATAAATGCAGAGAGGCCTTGTGACACCTGGGAATCCTGGTGGCATGTGCTACCTGCCTCATGCCAACCGCCAGCAGAAGGTCAAACTCTTAATCCCAAATCTCCCCAAATGAGACACAGGTAACACTGCAAACTGCACCCTTATCAAAATGCTCTGCTCCGGGAAGATGGCGGAAGAGTAAGACGCGAAGATCACCTTCCTCCCCACAGATACACCAGAAATACATCTACGCGTGGAACAACTCCTACGGAACACCTACTGAACGCTGGCAGAAGACCTCAGACCTCCCAAAAGGCAAGGAACCCCCCACGTACCTGGTTAGGGCAAAAGAAAAAACTAAACAGAGACAAAAGGATAGGGACGGGTCCTGCACCAGCGGGAGAGAGCTGTGAAGGAGGAAAAGTGTCCACACACTAGGAAGCCCCTTCGCGGGTAGAGACTTCGGGAGGCGGAGTGGGGGAGCTTGGGAGCCGCGGAGGAGAGCACAGCAACAGGGGTGCGGAGGGCAAAGCGGACAGATTCCAGCGCAGAGGATCGGGCCGACCGGAACTCACCAGCCGAGAGGCTTGTCTGCTCGCCCGCCGGGGCGGGCGGGACTGGGAGCTGAGGCTCCGGCTTTTGTCGGAGCGCCGGGAGAGGACTGAGGTTGGCTGCGTGAACACAGCCTGCAGGGCGTTGGTGCACCGCGGCTAGCCGGGAGAGAGTCCGGGGAAAAGTCTGGACCTGCCGAAGAGGCAAGAGACTTTTACGTCCCTCTTTGTTTCCTGGTGCACGAGGAGAGGGGATTAAGAACGCTGCTTGAGAGAGCTCCAGGGACGGGCGCGAGCCGCGGCTAAAAGTGCGGAGCCCAGAGACAGACATGAGACGCTAAGGCCGCTGCTGCCGCCACCAGGAGGCCTGTGTGCAAACACAGGTCACTAGCCACACGCCCTTCCGGGGAGCCTGTGCAGCCCGCCACTGCCAGGGTCCCGGGATCCAGGGACAACTCCCCCGGGAGAACGCACGGCGCGCCTCAGGCTGCAACGTCACGCCGGCCTCTGCCGCTGCAGGCCCGCCCCACACTCCGTGACCCTCCCTACCCCCCGGCCTGAGTGAGCCAGAGCCTCCGAATCAGCGGCTCCTTTAACCCCGTCCTGTCTGAGCAAAGAACAGACGCCCTCCGGCGATCTACACGCACAGGCGGGGCCAAATCCAAAGCTGAGCCCCTGGGAGCTGTGAGAACAAAGAAGAGAAAGGGAAATCTCTCCCAGCAGCCTCAGAAGCAGCGGATTAAAGCTCCACAATCAACTTGATATACCCTGCATCTGTGGAATACCTGAATAGTCAACGAATCATCCTAAATTAAGGAGCCCTGTGGATGAAAGGCTCTTGGTGCTGCAGCCAGGAGTCAGTGCTGGGCCTCTGAGGTGGGAGAGCCAACTTCAGGACACTCGTCCACAAGAGGCCTCCCAGCTGCACATAATATCAAACAGCAAAAATCTCCGAGAGATCTCCATCACAACGCCAGCACCCAGCTTCACTCAACGACCAGCAAGCTACAGTGCTGGACATCCTATGCCAAACAACTAGCAAGACAGGAACACAACCCCACCCATTAGCAGAGAGGCTGCCCAAAATCATAATAAGTCTACAGACACCCCAAAACACACCACCAGACGTGGACCTGCCCACCAGAAAGACAAGATCCAGCCTCATCCACCAGAACACAGGCACTAGTACCCTCCACCAGGAAGCCGACACAACCCACTGAACCAACCTTAGCCACTGGGGACAGACACAAAAAACAACAGGAACTACGAACCTTCAGCCTGCAAAAAAGGAGACCCCAAACACAGTAAGATAAGCAAAATGAAAAGACAGAAAAACACACAGCAGATGAAGGAGCAAGATAAAAACCCACCAGACCTAACAAATGAAGAGGAAATAGGCAGTCTATCAGAAAAAGAATTCAGAATAATGATAGTAAGGTTGATCCGAAATCTTGGAGATAGAATGGACAATAGAATGGACAAAATGCAAGAATCAGTTAACAAGGACCTAGAAGAACTAAAGATGAAACAAGCAACAATGAACAACACAATAAATGAAATTAAAAGTACTCTAGATGGGATCAATAGCAGAATAACTGAGGCAGAAGAACGGATAAGTGACCTGGAAGATAAAATAGTGGAAATAACTACTGCAGAGCAGAATAAAGAAAAAAGAATGAAAAGAACTGAGGACAGTCTCAGAGACCTCTGGGACAACATTAAGCGCACCAACATTCGAATTATAGGGGTTCCAGAAGAAGAAGAGAAAAAGAAAGGGACTGAGAAAATATTTGAAGAGATTATAGTTGAAAACTTCCCTAATATGGGAAAGGAAATAGTTAATCAAGTCCAGGAAGCACAGAGAGTCCCATACAGGATAAATCCAAGGAGAAATACGCCAAGACACATATTAATCAAACTGTCAAAAATTAAATATAAAGAAAGCATATTAAAAGCAGCAAGGGAAAAACA